AGTTTTTGTCTCCCTGGGCCCCAGGGAAGCTTCCTGGGAGGAAAAACGCCCCCCACGAGGCTTCCCTGAGGCCCAGAAGGCACAAAAATGGGGTGCTTTTGTAGAATAAAACAGAATTATTGGTCAAATGTGATTAGAGAAACAAGGAATTTGTCTCTGGTGCAGAAGCTCACAGTGACCATGTGAACAACAAAGGGAAAACTCATATACATCGTAAGGATGACAAGCCCAGCATCTTTACTGCTGGGTCAAGTTAATGAAGTTAAGGGTTGTAAAAGGTGTAGGGGGGTTGTACTAATATAGTACTTGTGTTCTTCTTCTTTTAATGACCCATAATTCTTAGACGGGTGGAGTCTGGGCAACGGAATGGAGCTAACAGATTGTTTAATGGCCCGATGCCCTTCCTGTCACCAAAGCGGAGTTTTCTTCAGCAGATATATTCTCAGTGTGCCCAGGAAGAGAAATATCTGCCTCTACCTAGGATCGAACTCACAGCCTCCTGATGCTGAGGCAAGAGCTCCACCTCTAGGGCCGTGATGGCGAACCTATGGCATTTGTGCCAGTACGCGAGCCACTGGCAAACTGACCTCACTGCGCATGTGTGCACCACCCAGCTGATTTTCAGCCTCCCAGAGGCTCAAAGAAAGCTTCTGCAGCCTCTGCAGGATGAAAAACAGGCCTGTTTAGTCACTTCTTGTATACCGGAAGTGATGAAGTGGGCCTATTTTTCGCCCTGCAAAGGCTGCAGAAGCTTTCTTTGAGCCTCTGGGAGGCCGAAAAAGGCCTCAAATGGGCCGAAAATCAGCTGGGTGGCACAGTGCAGGTAAGGGGGCAGTGGGGGGATTGTGTGCACATGCGCAGGCGGAGGGGGGCATGCATTGCCTTCTGGGTGCTGGCACACGAGTATGAGCATGCAAGTGTGTGCACAATTTTTGGCACAGGAGCCCAAAAAAGTTAGCCGCCATTACTCCAGGGCGCTGTGACAGTCCTAATGTTGTACTTATGTTGACCCCTGTGCTAATTCTAAGATATTAATGCGAGCTGCAGATCTTGAGATTTAGCCTCCTAATCTGGCTTTTCCTTGGCAACTTTAGCGCTTGTGGACTTCAACTCCCAGAGTTCCTCAGCCAGCTTAAAGTCTTAAAGTTGCCACGGTTGGAGGCCCCTGGATTACAAGACCTCCAATAGGAGCCTCGGTGGCGCAATGGTTAGAGTGCAGTACTGCAGGCTACCTCTGCTGACTGACGGCTGCCTGCAATTTGGCCGATCGAATCCCACCAGGCTCCAGGTTGACTCAGCTTTCCCTCCTTCTGAGGGGGGTCAAAAGAGGATGCAAAATTGTTGGGGGCAAGAGGCTGACTCTGTGAACCGCTTAGGGAGGGTGGAAAAGCGCTGTAAAGCAGTATATAAGTGCTAAGGTCCCTTCCCACTCTGTTGCTCAGCAGCCGCCTTTCTTGCAGGACCACGAAGGCATTGTCCAAACTCCAATGAAGTTGGCATCTGTATTGTGCAATGCCATTCAGATGACGACTGTGCAAAAGGCTACCTCTGCTGCCCCACCGGCTGTGGCCGTTGAAGAGGTACGACTCCCATTTCTGGAATGGGGGGAGGGGGAGAGGAGATGGAGACCGAGAATGTGGAAGTAATGTCTGAGGTCCTCTTTGCTGTCCCCTCCCCTCAGGCCAACCCCAGCCCTGATGCGGCCCTCAAGGGAATTGAGTTTGCCACCCGTGATCTGAGGGGCCTTTGGTCTTCCGGCTGCCTGCTCATCTTCTTGCCCCCCCTCTGATGGAGGTGACCCCACCCCAATAAAAGATCTTTCGCCCTCACTCAGAGTTTCGTTTCCTGACCTCGTAACCATCCTCCATCCGGACCGTCCGTCTCGGGGGCAGCTGCCTCGCTGCGTTTCCCCTGGATGAAACCTCGATGCTCTCAGCCTCCCTGCCTCCATCTCTGGAGGTTGGTGGCCGATGCTCCGAGGACCTCTGCCCTGGGCTGGGGTTGGGCTAGAAGACCTCCCGGGTCCCTCCTCGTGACCCAAGGATGCTCTGACCACGTTCAGAGGGGTGAGGGGTTTGGGCTTTCTCCAGATCGGTCCAGGGCACCCCCGACCCCTGGTGGAAGAAGGGGAAGGGCAGTCCAGACTCTGCCTCCTGACCCGCCCTTCCTCTGCCCAAGGGGTTTCCCCATCGTCTCCCTGCCTCCCAAGAAGGCAAACCAGCAGGGGGGGGGGCGCTGCCCTCAAGTGAACTGGTGGAAGAAGGGAGGCTGAGGGAGGGTCTGCCAGAGATGTTGGCTGCCCATTTCCCCCTCCTCAGAATAACGGAACAGCGGAAGAACAGAGTTGCAAGGCACCTCAGAGGTCTTCTAGCCCAACCCCGTGCTCAGGCAAGAAACGCTAGACCATTTTGGACAACCGGCTGTCCAGCCTCCCCTTGGAAGCCTCCAGTGACGGAGCCCCTACAATTTCTGGGGGCAACTTCTGGTCCTCCCTGTCAGGAGGTCTCCCCTTAGTCCCAGGCTGCTTCTCTCCTGGATGGGTGTCCGTCCGTCGCTTCTTGTCCTGCCGCCCTCAGGGGCCTTGGAGAGTGGGTGGGCCCCCCTCTTCTTTGGGGCATCCCCTCCAATATTGGGATGCTGCTATCAAGCCAAGTCCTCTTCCCTCCTCCTCCTCCCTCCCCTCCAATTGACCAGTGGAACTGCTTGTCCCCAAAGGCTGTGGGTGCTCCATCACTAGAGGCTTTGAAGAAGAGGCCGGACAGCTGTTGGTCCAGAACAGTGTAGAGTCTCCTGTTTGAGCAGGGGGTTGGGCTAGAAGACCTCCAAGGTCCCTTCCATTATGCCATTATTCCTTTTCCCTCCTCCTCCTCCATCCCCCCGCCTCACCCCTGCTGGAAGGGGTCCCTCTTACCAGCAGCCCATCAACTGACCAAACACAAAACAAACTCTTCCATACCCATTTGGTAGAGTTTCAGTGTCTTTAATGTTTTCTTTCATTATGTACAAGCAGAACCCTATAGTGAACATTTTGGGGTTGAATTGATTAATTGGTTGGTTGTTTGGTTGGTGGTTGGTTGGTTGGTTGGTTGGTGGTTGGTTGGTTGGTTGGTTGGTTGTTTGGTTGGTTGGTGGTTGGTTGGTTGGTTGGTGGTTGGTTGGTTGGTTGGTTGGTGGTTGGTTGGTTGGTTGGTTGGTGGATGGTTGGTTGGTTGGTTGGTTGGTGGTTGGTTGGTTGGTTGGTTGGTTGGTTGGTTGGTGGTTGGTTGATTTTGGTTGGTTGGTTGGTTGGTGGTTGGTTGGAGGGGGAAGAGAAGACCAGCCTATCTCAACACCCACAGAAAGGGACGTAGCCAGGGGAAGGACATAGGCAAGGGACACACCAACCAGCTGCAACCCAGGGAGTGGGACGGGGTGTCCTTTGGGGGCAACTGCACAGATATACAACATAGATTGTATGAAGGGGGGGATGCAGGCAAGGCAACCTCAACCACACGGAGGCATCAGCCTCATCCCATCTCGGTGGCAGACTCAGGGCTCCAGGAAAGCAGCTGAGTCGGGAGTCCATTCTGATGATTTTCCCATCTCTGTTCCAGCCAACAGTCAGGCGCTCCCTGGAAACAGAAGGATGGTGGGTCAGACTAAGGGGACAATGGAGACAAGCCCAGATTTTGGCAATGAGTCATCAAGAAACACAAGAAGGTTGCATCTTCGCTTTAAAATAGCAAGGGAGTTACCCATTGGGCTACAACTCTAAACCAGAGATGACCCTAGACCAGGAGTGTCCAACCTTGGCAATTTTAAGATTTCAACTCCCAGAATTCCCCCAGCCAGCAAAAAATGTCAACATCCCAGAAGTTGAAAGTAATTCAAATCATCCATGTCTTCCCCAACTGAAAGGTGGCCTCAAAAGGAAAGGCTGTGTAGCTCCAGAGAAGACCTGGAGGACCATCATTGATGTCCTCTGCTAGGCCCATGATAAGTAAGCAGTGGGGTGCCACAAGGTTCCGTCTTAGGCCCAGGACTCTTCAATATCCTCATAAACAACTTAGATGAGGGAATAGAAGGGGAACTTACCAAATTTGCAGATGATACTAAGCTGGCAGGAATAGCTAACACCCAAGAAGACAGGCTCAAGATCCAGATGGATCTTGACAGACTAGAACACTGAGCCGTATCTAATAAAATGAAATTCAATGTAGAGAAAAGTAAAGTCCTACACTTAGGCAAAAAAAAACCGAAGGACACATCTAGACTGGGTGAAACCAGGCTCAATAGCAGGAAATGTGAGAAGGATCTTGGAGTCTGAGTGGACAACCAGCTAAACAGGAGCCAGCCGTGTGCAGCAGCATCCAAAAAAGCCAATGCAATCCTAAATTTATTAACAGAGGGATACAATCAAGATAAAGGGAAGTAGTAATATCACTCTACAAAGCCTTAGTAAGGCCACACCTAGAGTACTGCGTCCAGTTTTGGTCACCACATTATAAAAACGATGTTGGGACTCTAGAAAAAGTACAGAGAAGAGCAACCAGGATGATGAGGGGACTGGAGGCTAAAATGTATGAAGAATGGTTGCAGGAACTGGGCCTGGCTAGTCTAGGGAAGAGAAGGACTGGGGAGATATGATAACAGGGTTCCCATTTTTGAGGGGCTGCCCCAAAGAAGAGGGGGTCAAACTATTCTCCAAAGCACCTGAAGGCCAGACAAGGAACAATGGATGGAAACTGAACAAGGAGAGTTTCAACCTGAAAATAAGGAGAAACTTTCTGAGAGGGAGAACATTCAACCAATGGAACAGAAGTTGCCTTCAGAGGTTGTGGGAGCTTCATCCCTGGAGGCTTCCAAGAAGAGACTGTACTTTCATCTGTCAGAAATGGTGTAGTAGGGTCTCCTGCTTGGGCAGGGGATTGGACTAGATGACCTACAAGGTCCCTTCCAACTCTGTTAATCTGTACCTGTACCTAATAGTTGCTTTCGGCCGGCGAGAGGTTAGTACTCACCTTTGGTTAATCTGCAGGTTCTGTGACACTCGTCTTCGGATTCAAAATTGTTCTTGTTGCCCCCACAGCCGCCGTAGATGAACGGCTCACATTTATGAGTGGAAACATTGTAGAAGAAGCGTGGGAACATTGCCTTGCAGATGCCACAGACGGAGGGCAGCTGGCAAACATCTGCAACAGCCAAGGAGACCCAAGATGAGACAGGAGACAAAGGGAAATCATCTCTACAAGTCCGCTAAGGAGCAGAAATAGCCCTAGAAAGCTACCTGATCTTTAGAAACTCGTTTTGGATTCATGGAACCTGCAGCGAGTTACAGAAAATGAAAAAAGAACATGCAATACATGAGAGCAGGGCTCTCCAACCTTGGCAACTTTAAGACTTGTGGACTTCAATTCCCAGAGTCAAAGTCCACAAGTCTTAAAGTTGCCAAGGTTGGAGAGCCCTGCATTAGGGAGTTTTCCACGGAGGCTGTGGTCAGTGGCACCATCTTGAGGCCAATCCGTCCCTCCATGGCCATTGAATTGAATTGAATTGGGTACTTTATTTCAGGGGTCTCCAACCTTGGCCACTTTAAGCCTGGAGGACTTCAACTCCCAGAATTCCCCAGCAAGATTGGAGACCCCTCCTTTATTTGATCAAGTGTGATTAGACACATAAGGAATGTCTCTGGTGAAGAAGCTCTCAGTGTCCATGCAAAGCAACTGAATAAAAATAATCATAATCCCAAGAAGAGGGGAGAGTAAGAAAGAATGCAAGTCATCGACAGGAGACCCACCTTCTCAGAAAGGGGTGGGTGGGGGTTGAGATGTTTGGGAGAAGGTTTGGCTGTTCCCAGCCCTCAGTAGGGTGGGATGTGTTGACATCTGAGGTCCCAAAGGGGCTTTTCCAAGAGGCAACTGGACTTTCTTGTTTTTTTCTTTGAAGACTATTCTTTGAAGACTTCTTCAGAGCTGAAGAAGTTTCTTGGACGAGAAGTGAAGTGTCTTCAAAGAAAAAACCAGAAAGTTCAGTTGCCTCCTGGAAAAATGCATCTTTGGGACAACCATGACCTGGATGGCGGAGAATCTCCACAGACATCAATACCTGAGACTATGAAAATGGTGCATCACCCTCCCTTGCACAAAGCCAGTCCTATCTTTGGGTGACATGGTGGCCTCATGTCCTCAAGGTGGCAGATGTCAGGTCTCCCAGGAACTCAGCAAGGTACATCGAGGAGAAACTTCCTAACTGTGAGGACAATTAACCAGTGGGACCAATTGCCTTCAGACATTGTGGGTGCTCCATCACTGGAAGCTTTAAGAAGAGACTGAAGTCACTTGTCTGAAATGGTTTGAGCAGGGGGCTGGACTAGAAGACCTCCAAGGTCCCTTCCAACTCTATTCTGATTCTGAGTTGCTTCCAAGTAGTTTCCTTTACGGTTCCTCGCCTACAGACAGAATCTTGCCAGACTAAAGGAACGATTTGCATATTATAGATAATCCTCTGGGACTCTCTAGGGAGGGGCCCTCTTAACTTCCTTCCTCCCAACCTTCCTCCCTCTGGAACGCAGCTCCAGACCTACACTCTGCTTGCTTGGCAGACTTCCTAGCACTTGGCCAGGGGCGCAGGGGGCCCAACTTTCAGGGGTCCATCACACAGTTGAGGAAACCAAGTGTCTGGGGCCCCACAGCTCGTTCCCACTTGAGAGTTCGCAGTACCTGGTCAGTTGTTAGACAAGAGACAACCCCTAGTGTCCATGAAGCCACAGGCAGGGGAATGCAAGCTGCAATGCCTTTTTACCCCACAAACTCTCTGGCTTTGCTGGCCAGGACCTGCACCGTTCCAGACAAACAGTTGTCCAATCTCTTCTTCAAAGCCTCCAGTGGTGGAGCATCCACAACTTCTGGAGACAAGTCGTTCCACTGGTTAATTGTCCTCACTGTTTTGGAAGTTTCTCCTTAATTGCAGGTGGCTTCTCTCCTTGGTTAGTTTCCATCCGTTGCTTCTTGTCCTGCCCTCAGACGCTCTGGAGAATAGCTTGATCTCTTCTTCTCCACAATAGCCCCTCAAATATTGGAAGGCTCCCATCAAGTCACCCCTAATCCTTCTCTTCATTAGGCTGGCTAGACATACCAGACATGCACCAAGACAAATTCCTTGCGTGTCCAATCACACGTGGCCAATAAAGAATTCCTATGCTGTTCTTTACCCATTTCTTGCAACCATTCTCCATATGTTTTAGCCCCCAGAGCCTTTCTCATTTTGGTAGTGATAAGCCTGATGTTTATACAGAATAACAGAGTTCAAAGGGACCTTGGAGGTCCTCTAGTCCAACCCCCTACTCAAGCAGGAGATCCTTTACCATTCCAGACAAACAGTTGTCCAATCTCTTCTTCAAAGCCTCCAGTGGTGAAGCATCCACAACCTCTGAAGGCAACTTCCCTTCCACTGGTTAATTGCTCTCCCTGTCAGGAAATTCCCCCTTAGTTCCAAGTGGCTTCTCTCCTCGATTAGTTTCCACCCGTTGCTTCTTGTCTTGACTTCTGGGGCTTTGGAGAATAGCTTGACTCCCTCTTCTCTGGGGCAGCCCCTCAAGTACTGGGACACTGCTATCCTGCCACCCCTGGTCCTTCTTTTCTCGGGACTCTCGGAAGGCAGAGAGAGGGAAAGAGGAAGGAGTGAAGGAACGAGTAAGTGAGGGATAAACAGAACTGCAGAGCCGCCAAGCAAAGCCAGAAGCCAAGCAGGCTGGGCAGCTCCCTGAGGCGTGGGGGGAGGGGACGGAGGCTGGAACGAATGAAACCTCCAGAGGTCTGTGTCCTCCCCTCCCCTGAGGAATGCCACGCTGGCCACGTGCCTCTGCTTAGTCAGGAGCCCCACCCTGGGGATGACACACTGGGGAGATTCCCTTCCAGCCCTTAAGCCCAGAAACTGGAAGGCATGTCAGGCATGCGAGAGAGGAGTGTTGGGGGTGGAGCAGGTATCAGCATTTGCACCATCCCTCCAAGTCCTCCCTCTTCACCCTAAGGCAGGCGAGGAAGTTGCCACGATCCGGAGGAGGGTGGACTTCAAGCGCTTGGAAAGGGCCGCGTTTCTGCAGGAGAGCTGGCCCTGGGCACTGCAGGCTTTGCAAAAGGCAACGGGACCTCCCTGGGGTTTTGGTTTCCTTGAAAAACTTTTTTTTTTTTTTTTGCTTTTCATCCAAGAATCTGGAGGTTTTTCAAAAGAGACTGGACATCCGTTCGTCCAGGATAGGGGCCGGGTTCTAGAACAGTGGACTAGGGGCTGGACTAGAACAGTGGTCCCCACCCTTTGGGGCTTGGCAAACTGGCTGGGGAGAAGGGGGGGAACTGGGCCGTGTGAGTGACAGGCCGGAGCACGTGGGCACACACACAGCCCTTACACAAGTGGCAGGCCAGCCGAGTCATGCGCAAGTACTCGCCAGCCTGCTGCTTGTGCAAGTTGATCTGGGCGTGCATGCGCCCTCTGGCCAGCCACTCACACAGCCCAATTTCAAACAGGTCACCGTCTGGTAGTGGGCCACAATGGGGGGGTGGACTAGAAGATCTCTAAGCTCCCTTCCTACTCTGTTATTCTGTTAAGAAGCTTCTTCGGTTCTAACTTCAGAATTCACAGAAGCCAGGGACTCCGGACACTTCCTGTACCATGAAGGAAGCCCGCTTCTTCCTCAACCGTCAGCACCAGGTGAGCAGAGATTAACTCCGAGATGAATATCAGACCAACAGTCAAGAAGGAATCAGCACCCCGATCAAGGAACTGCCAAACACGTCAATAGTAAACAAGCCAAACAAAGAACTGCTAAGAGCATGGCAGGGCAAGCTACTGGAATATAAACTGAAAGCAAACCTCACTCCTTAGTAGCACTGATGTTGTTACCTAGCTGGGTCATGAAATGTCTGCGAGAAAACCACCAAGCTCAAAGAGCGCCAAGAACTCCAAATCCTCCTCCTCCTCCCCCTCCTCTTCCTCCTCCTCCCCACAAACCAAATTCTCCTCCAGCACTGATGATGTTCCCTAACTGGGTCATGAAACAACTGTAAGAAAACAACCCAGCTCAGAGAGCACCAAGATCCCCACAGTCCTCCTCCTCCTCTTCCTCTTTCTCTCTCCAAACCTCCTTCCTTCTAGCACTGATGATGTTCCCTAACTGGGTCATGAAATGTCTG